TTGAAAATGGAAAAGTAAAGTTCGGTTGTTTCTCTCTAGCACAGATTCTGTTTATTTATTTGAGAGGCAGCGAGAGAAGGATAACGGAAGAGAACAGAAGAGAGCTCAGAAACTCCCATCTGCTGGTTAACTCCCCAGATGCTTGCAGCAGCCAGCAGTGAGCCAGGCCAAAGCTGGGTGCTGAGAATTCAATACAGGACTCCGTCGTGGGTGGCAAGAAGCCAACTGCTTAAACCATCACTGCTGACTCCCACCATCCGTATTGACAGGAAGTTGGAATTCAGAGCCAGGGTGGGGATTGGATCTGCAAAGCACTGCCAGATATATGGGAGGCAGGCATTTTCACTCTTGTCTTGACTTCTGTGTCAGCTATTCACTCTAGCACAAATTCTTAATAAGCGGAGTTGACTTAATGACGTTTTATACTTCAGGGACTCTGCTTTGCGAAATTCTGGATTGGCCCAAGATAGACGATTGTTCTGTAAGAGGATTGCTTTGTGGAGTGAAGGGTTGAGTGTCAACAGTGGCTTTGGAACTGTGCTCACAGTCTTGTTTTTCAATTTAAGAGTAGTAGTCTTTTAGCTGGCTTTCATTTGAGTCAATGTAGAGAGTCAATATGTATTATATGCCTATGAAGCTGGTCTCTAGATCGATTGCAATTAGTTTGCAGAAGATTGCATTAACGTAGCTAAAATTAATACAGTTAGTGTTCTGATGAAAAGGAATTGACCACAGCCACACTGTGTTTTTTTCTTAGTCCCTCTGAACTGTGCTTTTCAAACTGTATTTTCTTCTTTGGCTAATGGCTTTAAATTGGTATGTCAACACGGACTTAATCCATCGATCCTTCCCGCTTGCCTTTTAAAAGCGATCCCAGATAATGGCACATCTGTAACATTTAATGTTTTCTTTCATTAAGTAACTTTTACTAAATGCCTTAAACTTGTACTTTTCTCGTTTTGTTATGTGATGCGCTATTGAGACTATTAAGTCTACATGTACCCTTGTTTGTGAAATTTTGTTTTTCAAATTACTAATGTATTAATAGACTTAAAAAACTCAGAAGTGGAGTTAAGTAATATACAGCTAGCAAGCAAAAGGCAAAGGAGCCCAACTTGTTTCACAATTTATTTTTACTCCAGCATTTTTTTTTTTCAGAAGATGAAATACAAGCAACTTCAATATTCAAAACATGATTATCAATATTATAAAAATAGAAGAACTCCTTTTAGGTTAGATCATGTCAAAATAAATGTTGTACAAATTGGCATAGACTAGGCTTTTTTTTTAGTTGTAAGGGACTACTATTTTTAGAAGTGGTCAGTTTCTGGGAATGAAAAGTTGCTTTTATCCAGTCGAAAAAGCAAGGCTTATTCATTTTACTGTCTGATCTGTTTTTAGTATCTTCCATATGCCAAGTACCATTGTGTTTTCCTAAATATACTAAGAAGTTTAGAACACTCTCTCTTGCCTTGGTGTAGCTGTAGAGTGCAAGTGTCTATTTGGAATTTCTCTTGTTACAAAGAACTCCAGGGACTCCAAAGGAAAATGACTGTTTAAACAAGACCTGAGAGCTAGTATCTCTCTTTGATGAAGTACCAGGAACCTTGGTTTTCAAGTCTGTCTGGTGCTGCCTTGATAGCCACCAAGGTCTCTGATAGAAGTAGCTGTGGCATGGGGCTAGCATGGTGGTATAACAGGCTAATCCTCTGTGTCCATGGCTCCAGCTCAAATACTGGCTGCTTTGCTTCCGATCTAGCTCCCTGCTTATAATCTGGGTGGGAAAGCAGCAGAGTATTGTCTAGGCATTTGAGCACAAGTACATGTGGGAGACCTGGAAAGAAGCTCCAGGCTCATGGTTTCCTCTTCGGTCAGCTCTGGCTGATGTAGCTATTTGGCAAGTAAACCAGTTAATAGAAGATCTCTCTAGACTCTTCCCTTCCCCTCGCCATGTCTCCCATTCCATCTCTCTCTATATATCTGCCTTTCAATTAGAAATAAAGACAATAAAAAGAGCTAGTTAGAGCACTTATAGGTGATCTCTTACTTGTTGGCAGGCCTGTAATTCCTTTATGTGATCTATTTTTCAGTTTGTAGTAATGACATTGTTACCCTGCCGCTGTGATTTCTTTGTGCCATGATTCATGTGGTTCACTTTTTTTTCTGTTTTTTTTTTTTTTTCCTCTTCCAAATGGGGCTTTTGAGTTTGTTAGGAAATGCTTTCCCCCCCTCCACAAAAGACTAATTTATTTCTGTCTTTTTTTTTCTTTTTTGGTGAAAATACAGATTTTGCTTTGAAGAGGTGACAATAATTTTGAAATACACTGGATAATGGGGAAAATTTAAATCAAACTACAATGACATGATATCTCAGCTGTGTTATTCGCAATGGCTTAGATGTCTACTAATGGCTCAGGTGTCTACTAATGGATGCATGAATAAACAAGATATGATAAAAACATGTGATGAAATATTATTTTGTATCACCTTAGAAAAAATTTTCAGCTCTTTTCAATAAGATAAATGAACCTACGAGCATATTGCCATGTAAAATAAAAAACTCTCATAAGAGCAAATACTGCAAAATTCCACATGTATCCAATCTCCCATGTTGTCAAACTCGAGGAAGCAAACAGCGTGGCATTGTTTGCCAGGAGAATGAGGAGAACTAGGTAGAGATTCAGTTACTCCAGACGAATAAGGTCTCCAACCCATGGTACAGCGTAGTACCTGTAGTTAATGAATGGTGTTGTGCAGTTCAACATTTAGAGCAGCTACTACATTAAAAGTTCATATCGTACACACACAACAAGAGGACACAAGGAATCTTTGAGAGGTGTTCAGATGGTGTTCTCGCCATCTGGAGAGGGAACCAAGAGGTGGAAGATTTTTCTGTCTCCTTCTCTCTGTAAATCTGCCTTTCCTGTAAAAATAATAAATCTTAAAAGGGATGGAGGAAGAAAAGAATAAATGAATGTGGGAGTGTTACGTAAGTAGATAGCACATTTGTTTTAATCTGTATGGTTGTAATGATTATCACACAGTGCTTGACAAATAACTAATGAAATAAATGAATAGACAATAAGTGACTCTAAAGTACTTTGTTTTTAAATTTTAATATGTAGTTAGGTATTTATTTGCTTGTAAGGAATGTTAAAGGTAGTTTTTCCCCCATTAATTCATAAGCACCATTAGGTATATATTTCTGAAAATTTAAGAAATTTATTGGAGTACAACTGATACACAAAGAAGTGTACATATTTAATGATTATGATTTGATAAGTTTGCACATACAAATACTTGTGGGACTATGACAGCAATGAAGATAGGAAATGCTTTTAATCTTATTGGATAAAATGAAAACAAGGAATTTACTTGTTCATGTCACTCTGCCTTTGTGGCTTTCCAATATAAATTAAAACCCAATTAATAGTACATGTTAGAAAACCACTTTGCCTTGAAACGTAAACACAATTACTGTAACATACAAGTTGCACTTTAGGAACTATTCTAATTAATAGTGAATCTTTTGAGTTATTGTACTCAAGTGTGGTTTGCTAAAGAGAGAATCTCATCAAATACATAGTGTCTGTTCCGGATTCCATTTGAAATTAAGATGTGTTCATCCATTTGCTCTTCCTGTGACACAGTATCCCAGATGGCCCAAGTTGAGTTAGTTGGACTTGGATGCTACAAGTCCAGTCAGTGTAGCGTGGACACTTCCCAGGTCTCCAGTTGGCTACCTCACCTTACAGCAGTTGATGAGATCCAGAGTGCGTGCCATGAGGGGAAATAGAAATGCTGGGGACCCACATCTCTTCACCAGGCCTGTTCCCAGTTGACCTACGATGTCTTGCCAGGCTCTCACACCCTAAGGTGCTGAACCAGTCACTCATGCATGACCACCTTGGGAGACATACTCAGACCATATCTGTATCATGTCTAAGCCACAGCACCAGGTGAAGGCTACTGACCTCAGAGAGTTACAACAGATTCCCTGAGGTGTTTTACAATAAATAATAATAAATTCTGTTATGTGCTTTAATTATTTAGAATGGAGTTTTGAGGAGCTTAGGTTATGTAATAGAAACTAACATTATTCCTAAAATAGTAACTTGTATTTTAAAATATCTTCAAGCTCATGAAAAGTTATAAGAGGTGCAACAAATTCATGTACCTGTCACTTCACTTTCCTGGACAAGGGGACTTGAGAAAGTTCATGGATAATTAAATTAAAGTGTGTTTATTTTTGATATAGGAAAACATTAAAATCCATATATTTTTTCACAACATGTATTATCTTCCATGAACGTTTTTTACGATTCCTCATATGCATAGATTTTAATTTTTGGGTGGGTTTTTGGGTGTTCTAGCATAAATGGCTCTTAATTCCCTTTGCCCACGGGCTGTTTAAGCACCTTTGCATCATTGTAGCACAGGGCCAGAATGAGGAAGTTCGCACCATTAAGTTTCTGTTCATCTAGTGATTTTAGTTTTTAGACTATATGTATTAGTCCGTTGTCATAGTTTCTTTAATACCTGCTTTCATTATGTATGTGTTTGTGTAGTTATCCTTCAAATTTTTGATTAAAAAATAGTATTAACAATGAGGTCCTTGTGTCCTGTGTTGGAGTGCTGGCATTCACATCCTGGGTTTCCTCTCAGTGCTGGCTTCCTGCTGATGTGCAGCCTAGAAGGCTGTAGCAGCGAAGTCACTGCCACCTGTGTGGGAGACCTGGCTTGAATTCCAGACTTTGGCATTGTCCAGTGTAGTCTGGGCTGTTGCAGCCATTCCAAGAGTGGACAAGTGGTCAGGAGCTCTGGCTGTCTCTCTTCCTTTCCAATAAAGTAAACATGAAAGATGAATAAGAATAAGGAATTGGCATAGGTTACATTTGCCTGGCTGATCGCCGGGTCTGATGTGTTTATAGAATACAGGCTGCTTAGGTTGGCTGTTCTTGTTTCTTATGAGTGTTCCCCCTCTTTCCCCCCATCTCTAGGCAGTTCAGCTGACCTCCAAAAGATGGCTCAACCTGCAGGAGTATCAGAGCAAGAAACTGATGTCTGACAATGGAGTGAGAGTGCAACGGTTCTTCGTGGCAGACACTGCCAGTGAAGCTCTTGAGGCTGCTAAAAGGCTCAGTAAGTGAATTTGTATCAGGCACAACATGCCCGTGGTAGCAGTAAATTCCTCTGTCATTCCTTGTTGTGGCTCAAGGGACAGATGCCGTGAGAGCATTGCATTGCCAAAGCAGACGAGTCCAGTTAGGAAAACGTGATTCTTTTATATGACATAGCAGTAGATGGGATGTCACTGTCTGCTATTTTATTCCGAGTTTGTAGTTGTTGTATCTCAGTTGTAGTTTAGCAGCTGGGACTAAGATGGTTATGGCTGAAAGGGGTAGTGTGGGGAAGCCCATGCATTGCAGGATGGGTTAACATCTCTTTAGAAACCTCTGAGAACCTGGGTGAGCTCCCTGTGAGTGGCAAGGGGAAGGGCACATGCTTTGTCCTCCCAGGTACTGGCTCTGTAACCTGGCCTACGAGTCTTCTCCTCTTCCTGGCTGTGGATCAGAGCTAACAGTGTTCGTCTCTGAGGCCTGCTGTGAGCCCCTCAGAGAAGCTGCTGTGCATTGTTGTGGTAGAAAGGCCACCTCGTTTTCCCCTCATCACAGGTTGAGGATTTAGGAATCAGATCCTGCTGCCTGCTTCTCCTTGACTGTGACTTCCAGTGCTAGGCAGGTTACCTTGTGGTCACTCTGGAGATATAATGGGAACCAATTAAGCATTTTTAAAGTTTGTGGTAGGCATAATAGGAAAAATGATAAGAGTAACCAGCATCGTGGTCTAAGGTTTAAACTTCCATCTACCACTCCATCACTCATATGGGAGCTGACTGAAGTCCTGGCTGTTCCACTTTTCATCCAGCTTGCTACTACAATGTCTGAAAAAGCAGTGACATGTGGTCTAAGTACCTGGAGCCCTGCACCCAACTGGAAGACCTTCCAGGCTTGAGGCTTCAACCTAGTTTAGGCCATGTCATTATAGTCACTTGGGGAATCAGTCAGCAGATGGAAGTTTTCTCTGACATTGCCTTTCAGAAAATACGTTTTTTAAAGATTAATTAATTTTTATTAAAAGGCAGAGATAAAGATTATTCATCTGCTGATTCACTCCCGAAATTACTGCACTGCCCAGTGCTGAGCCGATCTGAAGCCAGGAACCTGGAGCATCATTTGGGTCTCCCTTGTGGATGCAGGGTCCTAAGGCTTTGGCCGTCCTTGACTGCTGTCCCAGGCCACAAGCGGGAGCTGGATGGGAAGTGGAGCAGCTGAGACAGGAACCAGCATTTATAAGGGATCCTGACACTTGCAAGGTGCAGATCTAACCATTGAGCCATCATACCTTGCCCATACATACATCTTTTTAAAAAGAAAAAAAAAAGTAAAAAGAAATGCGTGAAATTAATTTAGTCATATCTGAACCATAGTTCAGCATGTAACTGATAAATTTAAAAGTATCATGGGACATTTTAGATTCTTTTTCTGCCCAAATTTTAACAACCCCAGTCTATATTTTACAAGCAGTGCATGTCTTTTCAAACGATTATATTTTTGTTTGTGTGAGTAACGTCTGTATTTGAAAGGCACAGTGAAAGGGAGGGAGAGTCAGATGTTCCATCCACTCATTTTCTCCTCAAGTGGTCGCAATGAAAGGGGCTGGCTCAGTGTGAAAGCAGAAGCCTGGCACTCCTTGTGGTTCTGCCCCATGGGTAATAGGGACCCGAGCACTCGGATCATCTTCTGTTACTTTCCCAGGCTCATTTGCAGGGAACTGGATCAGAAGCAGAGCTTCCATGCATTTGAAGCAGCACACTGATATGTGATATTGGCATCACAAGCTGTGGCTTAACCCGCCATATTATCCCATTCAAGGTACTCTGCTGACTTGTGGCGCGGGGCTGCTGTGTGGGGCAGTACAGATCTGGGCCACCAGAGGGATTTGCATGGGCGTTCTTTGTTTGATCATTTGGACTGCAGTTGTTTCTCAGCAAAAACAACAGAAGATCTGCTCACTGGTCTTGTTCAGGTTCCTGTAGTAATGGTTCCGAGTGTGACATGGAGGCTGGCTATATTTTGCAGTATTTTCTATTTTCTATTTTTTTTTATGAATAAGTGTTGAAGTACCTGCTGATCGTTATTGTTTTGTTTCTACCAGCTGCCAATAGTCCGAATATCTTCTCTGTTATATCCACTGAGATGCGTATTTATTATTTCTTTGGGCCAGTATTTATTGACAACCTCACATTGGGCAGCTTGGATACTTCTGTGAAAGTTTAGAGAATTGTCTTTCTTCTTAGTATTTTCATTCTGAAAATAAACTGATGATTTTAAGATGTTAAACCAGCAATTGAGAGCAACTTCTATTTTAAGGAATTATCAAAGTCAGTTTTTATAGTGAGGATGGGGAACAGCCCTAAACATGGAGGAGAGCTCCAGGTTTAATAAACTGAGTACCTTTTCACAAACAAATATCATTTTTGTTTTAGACTCTTGTGATCTGGACAAAGGATGATGAGAGCTAGGAAATGGAATCTTGAAATTGCTTTTTGATTTTTGTTTTTCTGATTCTTGCCTTTCCTTTATTTTGTATTTATTTGAAAGAAAGAAAGAGAAATTTCTTTCTTCTGCTGATTGACTCTCCAAATTCCCACAGCAGATGGGGTTGGCCAGGCCAAGGTTAGGAACCCGAAACTCTACCTGGGTCTCCCACCTGTGTGTTAGCACTCAATTATTTGAGACATCACTTATTATTTCCCAAGATATAGATTAGCAGGAAGCTAGGTGGGGAAGTGTTGCCAAGGATTGAAGCTAGGCATTTCTTATGGGGTACAGTTATTCCAGGCAAGATCTTAACCATTTTGCTGTACACCCACCCAAAGGATCCTTTTTTAGGGAATTCTGAAAGAAATTGTGGTTTCTCCCCTGCTTCTACCCTGTTGAAGCATAGTGTAGCTCAGAAGGCTGGCCTTTCAGATTTTCCTAGACACGTGGACTTCGTGAACTAATTGGCATCTTAGTCATGAGTTTATTGGTGTTGGAGACTATATATCATGGTTTTAAGATAGCTGCTGTTTTTAAGATTTAGTTTATTTATTTATTTAATATTTTTATTTATTGAAAGGGAGCCCAGAAGAGAAAGAGATCTTTATTTTCTATCCGGTCTTCATAATGGCCAGAGCTGATTGAGCCCAAAGCCAGCAACCAGGAGCTTCATCTGGGTCTATCATGTGGGTGGCAGGGAGTCAAGCATTGGTCCATCATCTGTGGCTTTTCCAGGTGCATCAGTAGGTGTCTCCATCTGAATCATGACAGCCAGGACTCGAATGGGACAGGCATCTTTAGGAGCTCCTTAATTCACTGCACCACAACACTGGCCCCGTTATGGTAGTCTCTGCCGTGGACAAACTTGGTAGTATGGTGTTACTATAGTGCGACTGAAACAGTGGAAGGAAAAATCAAGACAGTAAAGTTAGCTTAAATTAAAAGAGATGAAAGCTGAGCAAGGCTAATACATTGTAAAGGAACTCATTCTGGTCTTTGAGTGGTTTCAAAGGAATTGAGAAAATCAAAGCAAGGAATTGAGAATGCAGCTGTGTGTATGTGCACCCCCGGACACTTTGATCTGGCGTACTTGGAATGTTCTCTGGGACTGTATGGCCAAAAGAAGGCCTCCCTGGAATTCTGCTTCAAGCTGAATGGCAATGGAGGGAACTAATCCAGGCACCTCATTTCCCAAGTAGTGGATTTATCTTCCCTTCCTCCATGAGCTGTTTTGTAGACAGAAAATGTCCTCTGATTTCTGTTGCTGAGTAGCTTTGATCTGAATCTCACAGAATTAGAGGAGGTATTGGTACCAGTTCTTACTGTTTAGAGGTGCAATGAGTGGATAGTAAAGATGAAAACACGTGTGTGCACAACACGGAGGCTCCCTGGAGAGAGCAGAGCAGCAAGAATCTGGCCAAACACAACGGTGCTAATGTTCTTGTCACTGCACGACGCGCCAAAACCAACAGCTGCACTGTGGTCTTACCACATAGACTCGAGGCACAGATAAAAGCTGAATGATATGCTTATCCTCCTGCTTGCCCCCAAAACGGAACCTAACCCCTATAAACAGGATACTCTATTGGGAAGACTCCGTAAGATGTCTGTGGTGCATTGTTAAGCTCTGTCTTGGTCATCAGTGGCATCTAATTCTGGGTGATTCACTGCTGTCATGATTTACATTCTCAGCAGATCAGACATAGGATCGTCAATATCTTGCATTCCTCTGTTAGGAATATAGTGTAACTTATTTATGATGGAAATTTGTTTTATTTATTTCTTTTTGTTTTACTTATATTACAAATTCTTGATGAATTTTATAAATTTGTATGTATTATGAAATAAAGAACTTTTGCAAAATATCATGAATTTTTTTTTTTTAAATATTTATTCATTTTTATTACAGAGTCAGGTATAGAGAGAGGAGGAGAGACAGAGAGGAAGATCTTCCGTCCGATGTTTCTCTCCCCAAGTGAGCCGCAATGGCTGATGCTACTCCGATCCGAAGCCAGGAACCAGGAACTTCTTCCAGGTCTCCCACACAGGTGCAGGATCCCAAAGCCTTGGGTCATCCTCGACTGCTTTCCCAGTCCACAAGCAGGGAGCTGGATGGGAAGTGGAGCTGCTGGGATTAGAACCGGCACCCATGTGGGATCCCGGGGTGTTTAAGGTGAGGACTTTAGCCACTAGGCCACGCCACCGGGCCCATGAAATTCTGATATTAGCAGTATTCATGATTTCCAGTGTAATCTCTGTGTGGGTTATCTCGCAGGTCAGTTTGTGTGTGTGCGTCTGAATCATATTCCTGGTTTTCTGTTGGCCATCTGGGTCTCTCACCTAAAGTGGACCTTACTGCCTTTTGGTCACTTCCTATCTTCCCCTTCTCCTTTTTCCACTTGCTGACTCAGCTGAAATGTATCCATGACCTCTTTAATGTATCTGTTATGTATCGTATTTGGTCAGTTGCCAAATTGTCATTGCTGGTACTGTGTTATTATTTGATAAACAGAGAAACAGGCAAGATGAAGTTAAAAA